GGCCCACCTCCTGTTTCCTCTTTATAGTTGAGATTGTGGCCCACCTCTGTACTTATATATACGTGCCTGGTGCACAGATCAATACATCGTGATTGCACAGCCCACATCTTGTCCTTCTACATTCTCGATGTGTAATTTGACTTCCATCCGGATTGTTAGGGGTTGCAGACACATATCTCATGAACATCCAAAAAACTCAGAATTTTTTAAGGCATTCCAATCGAAGTTTTAAAATGCGGGATCATGAGACCATGTGATGGAAGTGAGCACCGTCGTGGATTGGTTGGAGCGTATCTGGCTCATTTCGCACCTGCCGCTTCAGGATCGTGCTGGCTTTCACAAGCTTTTCGTCCGGTTGCAGGCAGCAGTCCACGTTTTTGTGCTCTCTAATCTCTGATGAAATCATGCGAGATCTTCCTAGCCAACCTGTGACGACGAGGCCACCACACGCATACCCAGAGTGCAAGGTTTACGATCCTATAAACATGACACATACCAAGGCACTGACGCAGGTGAGAAGAAAAGCATCGATCAGGAGCCACCGCGCGCGCACGAGAGAGTCGATCGAGGAGGAATCGCCTGAGACGATGGGCGCCGGCCAGCGTATGGCGTCTCCGCCTGCGGCGGTGGCCGTGCCTCTCCTGCTTCTGTTCGTCGTGCCCTTCTGTAAGGCTATAATGTTTCCGGGGCACCAGCTTCGTTGTAGTATATTTTCTGGCAAATTGCAGTTGGCTTAGTCGCTTCAATTCTGATTCCGAGAAGGGAGCCATGTGGCGTCGGCGCACGGCGGCGCTTCGGCCTGGACGACGGCGCTGCAGAAGCACGTGGCGTTCTTCGACGCCGACAACGACGGCATCGTTTCCTTCTCCGAGACCGAGCAAGGTGACGAAATGACCATTGATCACGCATGCTCCCCGCTTCCCTCGTTTTGACGAAATGACTTTCGTCTCTTTTCGCGTCGATTGTTGGCCGTGGTTGCAGACCTGTTGACCTTTGTGTGCATGCAGGGCTTCGAGCCATCGGTCTTGGAGCTGCCGAGGCCACCGTCAAGGCAACCTTGATCAACGGAGTCATCGGACCCAAGACCAGACCTGTACGATGCTCGATCTCTACTCGCTCTCCCCGTCTCTTTTTCTTGCACGTGTTGACTAGTAGGAGACGTCTTCTGTCCTTTCAGAGGCGCTCGGTTTCACACATTTTTTTCGGTTTTTTTTCATTTTTTTCGTACTTTTTTCAAAAAATCAGCAATTGACAAGTCAATCGCAACCGGTCAAATTGATCGAGCAAACCAGGGGGAAACCGGTCAAATGCGATCGAGCACTCGCCTTCTACATGTGCTGGCCTGGTTGATCATGTGCGTCGGCGTCAAGAAGCTCAACCGGCGCCTAAGGCACCCTAGGGTATCCGTTTCTGGTGGTTAGCGTGCAACTTGAAGGGAAACCTCGCGCTCGTGGATGAAAGTGCGGGCAGGCTCTCCCTACCGTGTCACTGCGACCCGCCGACCCCCTCCTCTGACAACATAGGGAAACCCTGACCGTGTCGTCAACCCTTACAAAATCCTCCTCCCCTCCGCACTATCAAAGAGTTTATTCACTCATGCCCTGGTTTTTTGACCATCGAGGCTCCAAGACCGTTGGATCATGGATACAACGTTCTCAGGGAGGGCTCACGTAAATATTCAAAAAGGCGTAATTTACCTGATGCGGGTGCAAAAAATTGCAGATGAGTGCATGTTATGCTGAAGAATCATACTTTGTATGTTTAGAACAAAGTATAGAAACAGTATCCTTGATACCAAGAGAACTTGCAGGAAAATGCTACGACGTCGAAGTTGTCAATATACATAGAGAACATCCACCAAGGGATCCACGGAAGTGACAGCGGCTCGTACGATGCTCAAGGAAGGTACAGAGACCACACATACGCCCTGATCATTTTGTACATGTGCCCAAAATGTTAAAGACCATCATGCCAGCATCTCTGCTATATCGATCCACTTGGCATGCAGGTTTGTTCCCGTGAAGTTCAACGAGATATTCACCAAGCATGCCAAGGTCGAACCGAACGCTGTGAACGAGAGCGAGCTGGAGGCGATGCGCACCGCGAACAGGAAGGACGGCGACGACATAGGAAGGTAATCATCTCTAGACTCTATAGTACTAGGTCGTACCATTTACACAGACGGTCGAAGTGTCGCCGTGTTAACTCCGCCGACGGTTGCTTAAAAACGCAGGGCGGCGTCGAAGGCGGAGTGGGACTTGCTGTACAGCCTCGCCAAGGACAAGGACGGCTTCCTTCACAAGGACAACGCACGCACCGTCTTCGACGACACCCTCTTCGTTCAGCTGGCGAAGAAGGGCGGCTCGTCTCGAAATTAACCAAGCATGATTTGCATTTGTATTTGTACTTGTCCTGTCGTTGATTGTTGATTACAAAGTCACTGCACAATTATTGTCATGTAGTCAACTGAAATACAATTGAGCTTCATTCAAATTTTGGATCAAATAGAAAACTGACACATGTGCGTATGCGTTTCTCTTGTACGTATGTGAAATTGTGAATGAACATTTACGCCGCTCTCTTGACCTCTCGTTGGCCCCAACCGAGAGCGCCACCCGCACCGCGTCCCCAGTATCCGCACATATTCAATGTCGGAGAAACGTTAACTGAACGAGACAGATATTTACCACACTCGTTCAATGCCCGTCCATCTTTATGCTGCCGTTAAGCCGGCTCGCCCGCCGAGAAACCAACTTCGCCGCTGCGCATTGACACACCCAGACATTTGGTTTTTCATTAGAATCCGCAATTTAAAGGAGACAACACCTGGTTTAACTCCACACCACAACACATCCACTCCACGTCCTCGTCCCTTGCACCATATCCACCATGACCACGAGCGGGAACGCTCTGTGGGAGAGCCTATCGACAGAGATGAAGCACGGTCGCCGCCCTTGCGGCCGCCTGGCAGAGCCGTCGTGCCAGCCGGGTCGAGGCCGTCATGTCGGCCAGCTCCCCCGAGGTCTACGACGACCCCACAATGGAGACGGGGTCCAACGGCGACACCACGCTGGAGCCCGCGCTGGTGCATGTCGACTTGACCATGAAGCAAGCGCAGACGTACTAGGATGCCTCCATGGCGGATGAGCAGCAGCCTGCGCCGACTCTTATGTCGACGTTCCAGCAGGGGCAGGAGGAGCAGAGGTATAACCTGCTCCTCCTTGAGCAGCACCGGCTGGTAGAGAGCCAGATCTACGGCTAGCGCACAAGCAAGGAAGCCGTGGCCGCCATGGCCGCGGCGAACCCGAACTTTGTTTTGGAGCCGCACACGCTCTACGAGGCCACGCGTGCTCAACGCGCCGCTCGCACCGCAGAGTCGGCGCAGCCAGATGCGGACGAGGCCGCACAAGCGCTGGAGCGCAGGTGGTCGAGGACGAGAACGCCGCAAGCTGCGCGTCCTATGCGTCGTCATCCAACTTTTGGGTGCGCATGTGGCAGGTGGATAGTGACGGACCATCCAAGTCCATCATCGACCTCACGTCCACTGGCACCAGCGACAGACAGGTCGAGGACTGCTTCGAGGATGAGTAGGGCATAGGAGGCGGCAGGGCATTATGTCCCAAGTGGGTTGGTCTGTCTCCCTTGTTCTACTCTTTCTTGCAAAAGACCGCACCTTCACTTCATAGGTCTCAAAGGCTGCTGCCGCTCGTAGGATAAGTTTAGGGAGGTGCCCTGCTCCTCCTAAGATGTCCTCAAGCGGCCACCATGTGGCAAGCTATGGCGCGGCAATGGAATATTCCGGACATCCGTCGAGTCATGCATACAGGGCAAGAGTGGCTTTTTCATGTGCTCGCGGACTTGTCACCAGAGGAGCGGATGTATCCGCTCATGACGATTTGGCGTTGCTGGCATGTGAGGAATGAGATCGTCCACGACAAACGACCACCGCTGATCGAAGCCTCGACCAGATTCCAAACCAGCTATATCAATTCATTGCTGGCCATCCAGGCGTACCCTCATGGAGATCATATCAAAGGAAAAATGGTGGCTGCGCCTTTGTCCAGTAGGAAATTGTTATCACATTTTTATTTGCGGGTATGTTATCACATGTACGGCATGAGAAGTCACCAGCACTTGGATGGGAGGCACTGCCGGTCGGCTGGGCTGCGCTCAACATCGACGGGTCCTTCTCTGCCAAAGACAGAAATGCAGGAGCTGGCGCATGGTCCTCCGGGATGAACATGGAGGTATTATCTTTTCGTCTTGCCATGAGCTAAGGCAGTGTGCATCACCGCTCGAGTCTGAACTTGATGCATGTTCAGAAGGCATCTCCCTGGCTACCCAGTGGTCTGAGATGTCTTTTGTGATTCAAACAGACTGCGCGGAAGTGGTAAAACTAATCGAAGGAGGTATTGGCGACCGATCGGAGTATATGATGTTGATCAGCGAGGATTACTTTGTGTCTTCGGGAGCATGATGAATTCTTAGTTAAGCTTGTGAGGCGTGAACAAAACGTTGTTAATCACTTTTTAGCAAACTTTGGTCGAATAAAGCGCATTGCGGTGTGCCGTTGTTCCGGGCCGGATGAGGTTCCGGACCTATGTAATGCAGACATGGCTGCTACTTAATTAATGAATTCCCCCTTTTTCCCGAAAAAATGAAGCATAACTTATCTGGAGCAGTACCTTCCACTGAAGCAGAACAATGCGATGGGAGCATGAGAACAGAACAATAATTCAGAACAACACACTGGTAAATCTAGAATTTATGGAAACACTAAAAATAGTCACATATTTAGGCATGACATCTGATTTTTTTTTCATAGTAATTTATATTGGCGTGATGACGGCAAATTTAGTTTACAAACACGGCAATTGTCTGACAAAGAAAAATAAACTAAGGCGAATTTGTCATGCTCAGTAACTAAACTTGTCATCCTTGAGAAACATAATTTGTCATGAAAAATGTTTGATTTGCCTTGATAAAAAGGCCGACGACAGATTTATAGTGGAGTCCAGAATTTAACCTCAAGGCAGTTCTGTTTTGATCATCAGTTGCATCAATTTCTACCTTCTATTCCTCCAATATTCAGATGATCTGGTGATTTATAGCAGCTCGGGGCAATGGCATGGTGAATACATCATACATGCACGCACAAACTAAGAATCAGGCAGGAGCAGCGGAGCCAGGCATCTGGCAGGAGCTCGCCGGCGGTGACCAAAGACATTAACAAGGCACCTGGTCTGATCGATAACGGCCGGCCCGATGCAAATAAACGAGCAGTGGCGCCAAAGACAAAAGGCTAGCACGAATCTTAGCGCGAGATTCCTTGCAAGAAAATTTGAATGAAGGCAAAACAATTTCAGTCGACTGTAAGAGCATCTCCGGCCGCGCCCCCAACATGGCCGTTTTTTTCGCGCCGACGCCGAAAAAATGGTCCAGTCGTGTCTCCAGGAGCCCGTTTTTCGCCGGCTTGAACCGAAATTAGCGTCGGCGGATCCAGGCCGAACCCGGCGGGCTGGGGGGCGCCCGGGGACGCCGGGACGAGCGGTTTTGGCGCGAAAGAGCCGCAGGCCCGCCGAGTCAGTGACGCGCGCCTCGTCGTCCTCGGAACGCCTCGGTTTCCCGCGTGTAATCAATGGCAAGGCTGCCGCCGGTCAGCCTTGCCATTGATTTCTCATCACGGGCGGCGCGTCACGAGCGGCGCGGCAACGCCTCCCTTCCCACCACGCGTACACACGGCGCGGGGCTATATAAACCAGTGGCCTCCCTCGCCTCTAGCCACACCAGCCCACAGCCGCCCGTCGTCGCCCGCCGAGCTCTGCCTCTCTCCCCGTGCGCAGCCGCCGCTGCCGCCAAGCTCTGCCTCTCTGCCCTTCTTCCCTCCCCTCTCTCCCAAGCCTGCTTGATGGTCGCGCGATTCCCGGCGACTTAGCGGCGGCCAACGACTTCGTCCGCCGCTCGCTCCACGAGTGGGAGGCCTGGCTGCTCTTCGAGGCGAACATCCTGGCGTCACCGGACATGCGTGCCGGGCCGACGGGGTAGAGGCTCAGCAACGGGAGCGTCCCCATTCCCTCGGTGCCCGATGTCGAAGCGTGCCCCGCCATCTTCGCCGCCGAGGTCGACCGCGTGCGAGCGTCCTGTCGTGGTTCTAAGACTGACAGTAAGAATAGGGGGTACATAGGAGGAGGCAAGGCCCTGACTACGGTGAGGTTGTACGCAAGTGTTTACGAGTTCAGGCCCCTTTCGGAGGAGGTAAAAGCCCTACGTCTCGGTGCCCGGAGGCGGTCGACTGGATTTCAGTATATGTGTGTGTGTTATAGGGGGTGCGAACCCTTGTCCCAGAGGAGGGGGTGGCTTATATAGAGTGCGCCAGGACCCCAGCTCCCCTCCGTTACAGAGGGTTCAATGTACATAATGGAGGGGCGTTACTGATAACGCCAGCTATAAGTGCCATCAATGTCCATGAAGACTACGGAGTAATGGGACATTGAAGACTACGGAGTAAATGTCCGACCGTTGTAGTTTCGTCTGACTCCTAGTCTTCAGAGGTCGAGTGGTTTCTTGTATGGTCGAGTGGTCCTGAGAAAGTTGGGGTATCTGAGTGATATGGTTGGTCGAGTAGTCTAACACTCGACGTCTTCCTTGGGTACTCCATGTTATCTCTTGAGCTCTTTGCTTCTGGGGTAGTGACCTTGGGTAGGGCACATAGGTCAGGCATATGACCCTACCCTAGGTCTATATCCTCATTACTAGCCCCCGAATGGATCGATGACCGAGTGGAAAGAAGATTGAAGTGGATTTCGCTTCAACCTTTGTACTTGACAAGTACTTGCATTGAACGGGAGGTTCGCGTTGGAACTTCAGCTTTGTTTCAGTCGCCTCGATCAATTCAGTAGTTGCCTCGATCGATTCAAAAGTTGCCGAGGGGATTAGTAACATCATCTGTCGATTGTTGCCTTCTGTTGCGAGATCTCCGGCGCGATCGGTTATTGCGTATCCCGGATTCGGCGGGATTCGAAATTTCAGGGAAGCGCGCGGGACGGAGCTTGCCGCGGTAATCGGAACGGATAAGTAGGAATGCCTTGATCCCCGCGCCACCTTTTTCGCCACGTATCCGGCGCGCGACTGTTGCGGGGATTTGACAGGATCGCCCGGGCCCGCGCGTCAGCCACTCGAAAGTGGGCCGTTAAAAGGTGGCGAGGCCGAGGCGTTGCAATGTGTGTTCCCAATCTCCCCCTTTCTCCTCCGCTTCTCCACCGCACGCAGCTCCTCCGCTCTCGACGCCGCCGCTCTGCCACAATGGTGAAGGACAAGACGGCGGCGCTGGAACGCGCGAAGAAGGCGATGGGGGCGGCGAAGGGTAAGAAGACCCAGCGCGGGTCGTCGTTGCAGTCGGCGCTGCCAACGGGATGGATCCAGGGCGACTAGATCGGATCCTCGCTCCGGCAAGAAGACCTGGACGAGCTG